TTTTATCGCCCTCAATGTAAAAAATGGTTTCTGTTCTTTTAAATTATACATTTTTAATAATTTCTCTGGTTCTTGAATAGAAACAGTTTTTCTGTTTTATTTAAAGTTTTATTTGTATGACTCTTACTTTTAAGTTTTATTTTTTATACTGATTTTTATATTTTAAATGTTTTGTGAAGTCTTCTATTTTAAGTATGTATACATTTAGATATTTTTCGTTACTACAACTGTGTATACTTAATTTTTTAGACATAGGATCAGCTTTTGTGAACAAATATTCATATTTACACAATAAAGCACATTTTGAGTTTGAGTTTATGGAAGGGTCAGTTCGCCATCTTGCTCCTGTTGTTTTTGATATGTGTGTATTTTATACCTATCGACAAGCCAAAACTGATCTATTTTTAAAAAAAATTATATATACACTGTGGGCCGAAATAAAGGAGTACATTTTTTAATTGAAAATATTTTTTTTTGGTTTTTGGGCGATTTAATTTCTTTTTGCAGGGCTAATAACCTAACATGTCCTCAACATGACTATGAACTTGAAAGCAAGATTAGCTAGGTATTTTTTGGTGCAAATATACAGAAAATTTCAGTACTACCAACTTTCCTTGCCAAAATCAAAAATGAAAACATTGTCTAATCCTCGGTCTAACCCATGGATGATATACACTATAGGATGGCCTATCCTCATAAGGCCTGTGTTTAACAAATCCCCTCCTACCCCCCTACGCCAAACAACCAGTTGTGACGTAAGCAGCATGGCGTTTCTCGCCTAGACGTAAGCTGTTTGAACAGCTGACGACTTTGTTATGACGTCGGCAATGGTTGAAAACAGTTGAAAACCAATATGGCGGCAATTACCAAAAACGAGGCCTTAGAATGTGTATTCTCCTTGAGTCTAACCTATAGTTGACCCAAATCCAAGCAGCAGTAATGACATTAAAGAACCTAATTTTAAATTGTTAGGTAACAAACACCAGCTGGGAATCCAGCCTTCCTATTGGTTGAAACGCCCTACCAGGACCACTGCCGCTTGGATTTGGTTCAACTATAGTAATATAGTAAAATTATTAGAATAATGGATGCACGTCATCAATGACGACGAAATTATTGTCAATTGCAGTTTGTAAGAAATTAAAATTCGTTTTCAACTCAGAGCGCATTTTTCCTTTTGTTCAACCCAAGTTAAAAAGAGATAGAATGCAGTCGGATCATATGACACAATCTGCCGATAAACTGGGATTTAGGTTGGCACTCGTGGGTAATTTCGGTCATTGATTTTAACAATTTGAGATTTGTTGTCACTTCTTAACGAGTTGGGGATTGGTTTGGGATTAGGATTCTTGTCAATTTATCAATAAAAATGTAATCTAGGAAAATGACAAAATTTACTAGTCAATACTACGTACTACGTATGTCAAAGTAAAACGAAGTTGATGCGGCAACATTGCGACATGCCATAACGTCATAGATTTTGATGACGTAGTGCATCCATTATTTTACTAATTTTCCTATAACAAACCACAGCGCCCACACTCCCAAATTCCATCCAAGCACTTTTTAAAAACAAACCTCGAAACAAAATATGTATTTCTTTCTGTAGTAACTACATGTAGAAATACACGAATATGTAAAACGGGCTTTATTGTATATTATAAATACTTATGGCCGTTTGCAGCGACCATTTTAAGGAAGCCTTAGCGATAAGTATTCCTTAAATTGACATTTTGACATATGGAGAAACATCGCTTTGAGGAATACTTATTGCTAATAAGGCTTCCTTAAAATGGTTGGTGCAAACGACCATTACAGTCGTAAGCATTAAAAGTGAGACACCCGACTGACAGGTATTATCATTTTTCGCTATTTTGGGTAAATCAGTTTTCTCTGTACAATGGATTTTTTGTCAAATATGACAATCCCTGTCATTGCCGACAATGTAGCTGGTGAGCCTGTTTTACAATAGGAAAAATCGGGAGTCCCATTTTTTTGTGCTGACGACTCTACATTTTCACAAAACTTTCTTTCACTGCAATATATGCAATATGACACTTCACTTATTTCATTGCGAATTTGCGAATGAATGCACCTCTCTGTCACTTGGCCTGCCATGTGGTGCAACGCTTTCAAAAGCGCGTAACCCGATTCACACGTATTCTTTTAGTATTGTCAAGGGATTATCAGTATTGTCGGCGGGTATTTATTGTGAGTACTGTAGAGATACTATTAAGTATTTTTGACAGATTTTTGGTATTATTTCAGTATTGTCATTACTGTAGAGCTATTTTGAAAGTATTGTGAGTCATTACAGGTATTGTGACAACTGCTATGAAAATACATGGTATTTTTACAGACCTATGACCGTATTGTTTAGGTATTGTAGGTACTGTGAACTGATTTGTACACTGTCAGGAGGTGTCGACCCCTCGTGAAAAGGTTCTTCTGGTAACTAGCTTTTTTTGTATATTTTTCATTTCATAATTTGGGTGTTTTTATGAATTCTTAGACGCACTAGTGCTATTATGAAGGACCTAATGACATTCAAATGACAATGCTAAATGTGTCATAATGACACCGACGTAGATTATAGTTATTAATGATACAAGTTCGATATGAACGCCATAATGAAACGTGTGTAACGTTAAACCACGAGGCGTTAGCCGAGTGGTTTAGTTACACAAGTTTCATTAATAAAGTTCATATCGAACGTGTATCATTCAAAATTTAATCTACAATGGTCCAAATAGATTTGATTTGCCTTGAAATAGCAAAAACTTTTCAAATTAAAATTTGAAATTTAGCAGGTGCCCGTACTAGTCGAGAACCTGCTTGTTGGTTTTTAGAATTTTGACTTTGGCAGCTTCAATATTGGAGTCCATTTTTGTGCCATAAATTCAATTTTATAGTGGAAAATAATATTATTATTGGTGATTCTGAGTTCGAAAGTGTCTCTTCGAATATAGAGACAGCATTATTGAAAAGGTTCTTCTGGCAACTAACTTTCTTTTTGTATATTTTTCATTTCAAAATTTGGGTGTTTTTATGAATTCTTAGACGCACTAGTGCTATTATGAAGGACCTAATGACATTCAAATGACAATGCTAAATGTGTCGATAATGACACCGACGTAGATTAATAAAGTAATTCAACGCTTCTTCATGGTTACAATACATTACAATAGCAACGAGGTAAAAAGTTAATTAATTGTATATTGACAATTTGTGGTGCAGTTCAAGGTTCAAGGCGAACCAAAAGGTTTTCAGGAAACACGATGGCACATCAACAGGATGCCGATGGTCCAGCGTTCATACATCAGCAAACAGTTTTTCGAAGGGCAATTGGATCGATGGTCGAATATAAGATTAGTGATGATTGGAACACATAGGGAGAAGGGTTGAACCAGTATTTTGCAGCAAATTATGTTGATGATGATAAAAAGGTAATGTCTGTGATCTTCTTCTACCAAAGTCAAAAAATTATCAGGAGCTTTGTAACATTCTCAAAAAGCAGTTCTCAAGGCGAATAGGTATCAGTTTTTAAAGAAAGAATTGAATTTTATGACCTGAAACAGACTGAATATGAATCAGTTCGTCAATGGTATACTTATACGCGTAAAAAATCAAGCCAGCAACTGTAAGTTTGGTAATTTGTTGAATGACATTCTGAAGGACAGATTTGTTTCGGGTTTATGTAAGGGTCCTGTGTTAGATCGGGTTTGTGAAGAGGAGCATACCCGAACCTTTGAAGAATTACTAGAAGTGATTTTAAAAAAAGAGGCTGCTGTAGTACCTTCCTATGTTCAACTTCCAGTAAATAAATTATAGCTGGGGCAATTTCAAAATAAGTCCCAGAGTCTGAGACATTCGGGCGAAAATGTGCGTGGGAATAGGAATATGAAGGATGGGAATAAGAAGAATGTTAACCAATCATCAGGAGGAGGGCTGAGTGTTAAGCTACGTAGATGCTGTGGAAAAGGTAATCATAATTTTGCCAGATGTCAGTACAAGCAGTATACTTATAAAATATGTAAAAAAGTGGGCCATTTGGCTAGGGTTTGCTCTGTTAAAACAAATTTTGTTGAATCTGAGGATGACACAGAGGCCGGAAGCCTAGATTTTATCGACATGTTTTATGTGAATAATACAAATTATGTTAATCCTGTTAAATTAAATGTTATTATAAATAACAAAGCGATTCTCATGGAGTTGGATTCGGGTGTGGCTTTATCTGTGTTGCCGGAGGAACTTTAAAAAAAAATTCTATGATTTTGTTTTGCACCCTACTTCTGTCAGATTTAGATTTTACGATGGAAGTATTATCATTCCTAAAGGTAAAATTTTTGTCAAAATTATATATAACAATCAAGTTGAAGAATAATGTAGATTAATAATTGTTAAAAATATAGTCTTTTTTGTTCTCCAACTGGTAGCCTTCAACTCTCGCTTCAACTACTAATTATTGGCGAATTTAAGCTTCAACTTGTTCTCTACAGCTAATTGCAAGGCATGCATGTTTACTATTTCAACTAGGTACCCATTTACTATGGTCTACATAATTTTAGGCGCAGTAGGTTTTTGATACCCTCTAATCTAATCAATCTATAATTGATGAAAAGCTACAGTAACTACATAAAGCAAACGATACTACACTAATAATTAAAGCCTTTATCGATAGGTACCTTTTTATACCTCTACTTGATTATTTATCACAATTCATACAGTACAGAAATCGATAGGCTCCTAGTTATTAAATGCCAAAAATTACCCTTTAAAATTTGAATACATGCACAAAATATTTCGGTTGCAAGGTCTCCCCATGCAATTAGCCTGCACTAAATCAATTAGCACAAGTTGTTAATATTTATTTACAATATTTAGGCAGATTCAAGTAAAATTTTCCTTTTAAAACCCATGCAAAACACAAACAAAACACAAAAGTGAGGTTATAATTGCTCAAACACAAATTAATTTTCACTAAAAGAAAAACGACGCACTTTTCCCAAAGCCACCTCATTTTATTTCTTGCACTTTAAATCAAACTTTTGAATTTATTTATCGTAAACTACCATTGAAATGGTCCATGGTTTGAAACCCAAAACACACAGCGTGTCTGTGTGTGGAAAACTTACTTTTCACTTCACTTTATCGATTTTCCAACGTTGCCCCGATTTCCCGACGTTTACAACAACATTTCAGGTCACGACGTCTGTCCTATGGGACTCGATTTTACAAAAGAAAACCGCTTTCTTAACGCACAACTGCCTTTTCTACACTAGTTGGGTGCAAAATTGATTGCATTTAAAAACCCACGTTAAATGTACGATGGCTCATTTTGCCTGTTTTGGTAGTTCCTGCGAGGGAAACCACAGCAGGTAAAGGTAAAAGTCAACCAGTGGCAGAGAGTGTCGCAATTTAGCTTGGCTTCTTTGTTCTGGTTTTTTAATAATTATATTTACAAGGTTGTTGAATAAATGCGTAGGATAATAGGATAAAAAAAAATATAAAATTGTTTTAAATAAGCATTGAATTTAATTAACAGTAAAGTTTTGCTTATACATACTCTATTTCCTTTTCGTTAGGAGCACAGAACCTCGTTTATAAATTTAAACAAACAAAAAAAAAGATCGAAAACGAAAAGCATTGATATAAACTGTGTAATACCTAAATATAACATAGAGGGTGATTCAGAAGTAAGCGGCATCCTTTCGGGGGCGTATTCCTTGCATAAAAATAAGACAAAAAGTTCCTATCAACATGGGTCCGGAAATGCTTCCTAAGGGAGCTACGCCCCTTCGAATAGGACACCTGAAAGACGTACCTACGTATTTTTCTCTATAACTTTGAAACCCTTCACACATGGATTTTAAAAATTGGTGTATTTTATAAGCATTTGATGGCAATCAAGATACTAAATTGAAAATTCAAAAATCTTAATCAGTGGTGTCACATACCTACTGGGTAGGGTGAGGGTTAAAACATCCCTATTTTTTTTTACTCTTCAGGTTTTTGCGATTCTAATTGAAAATTCGGAAAATTTAGAGTTTTTTACACACAATAAGTTCTCTTGGTTCAATTTGATACAGCGTACCGTTTACGAGAAAATTGACTTTGAAAATTTTCTGATTTGCGTTTATTGATGAAAACTAGTCTGCATTACAATGGAAAAAAAGAACATACAATCTAAAGAGAAAATGTTCAAAATTATTACCATTAGCATCACGACAAGCTGCTAATCTTTTTATTAGATTACGATGCACACGTGGTAGAATTCTTGGGTTGTTTCTAATTGTCTGAAATGCGTCCTCTATTCCTTGTCTGAGAACATCGATATTAGGTATTGGGTGGCAATAAACTAGCTATTTTATGTGTCCCGATAAATAAAAATCGAGAGGGTTTAGGTCAGGAGACCGTGGAGGCCATAACACTGGACTAGGGTTGCCAGGTTTGAAAATTGAATTCGCAGGACATGTGTTGAGAAAATGCAGGACAGTAATGAAAAAATCAGGACTTTTTTATTTTCCTAAAATAATATTTATAATACTCAAAAGTAGTATCGGAACAAGTTTGTCGCTACCGCTACCGTGATTTGAAGCATCTGTCGAAATTCTAAAAAATGTATTATTGGTACGCAGCTCTTCCAATGTAGACTCTATCGAAAAGGGGCCTAGAACTATTGAAGGCTTTTGAACTAGCCTTTTGTCCGACCCAACTTCATTTTGCTGGCAATCTTGGAGTTCGCATAAAGTAAGGAATGCAACTGCACAGCGCAGTCTAACGAATTGTATAACTGAGCATGCTTTACAGTTTACGGTATGGTAAACCTCAGTTATTTCGACAGCCAATCAAGGGCGCCGATTACGTGGATGCTCGGGGGCTCCAGCACCCACGAGCATAGACATAAAAACTGATAATCCTCTCTAGTTCCTGGAAAACTGGTTAATTTTGTACCTCGGGTTCCTGAAATCTGGTTACCCAAATGTCAAAATAATTACCGGCCATCGGATGTCGGTTCTGTTGGTTTTATCAAGGTTTTATCTGTAACTTCTGTCAATTATGTTTTATTTCCATATTTGCGTTCCCCAAAGTAACCGGAATTTTCAGTAAGCATCTGTTGACCGATTCGGTTACTTTAGCTCTGTTCCAGCAGACATGAAAACCTTTCTAGAACGGTAATTTCCAGTCGATCAATCCATTTATCAATTAGGAAAAACGTTCAACTTATTGAAAAATAGGTGGGCAACTGAAAATTATTGGTTCTGGAACGGTTCTCATGTCTGTTGGAACAGAGCTAATGGTTTACGTTTGGTTATATTTGGACCATAGCCTTATATAGGTTACGTTCCGATATCAACTCTGTCAGTACTGAATTTACTGGACGCCGTTCCGATATTATTTTCAGTACACTGGATTCAGTCGATTCAGTACTGAATCACCACAAGAGTACCCTGTTGAAATTGGAACGGCAAATGACAGTAAAATCAGCACAGTAAATCCAGTACTGCCAGTTGATATCGGAACATGGTAGTACTTTGTTTAGAAGAAGAAGAAGATGAAGAAAATCAGAAATCTTTTATGGAGACAGCGTAAAACGCAGATTTTCGGTACATGCTGCTTGGAAAAGAATATCTGCAGGAGAGTTTTCCACACTTTACAGTAGAGTGTTTTCACAGCTATCAGACCAATACCCACCTTTATCACGTAAAAACCCCCCTCCAGCACAGCCATCATACCACTACCCACCTCCACTGTACCCCCTTCCGTGAAGCTCCTACCCTGAGGAGGCACTTTTTACCCACCTGCACTGTAAACCCTCTTCCGTAAAGCCCTCACTGATCTGAAAAATAAATGGATAAACAATCATACGGCTTGATTGGCAAAATTTGTGCGAAAATTTGGGGTCAATATTCTATGAACAGTTGTGCAACAGCCTAACGCCTGCGCAGTGTCTTATCTTTCGAAAAACTGTTCTAAATTTTGAAATTCCTTCATTTTCATTGGCCAGATTTTGTGCACGCACAGTACACATCTACTGCGCACGCTCACAGCTGCCCCAGTCAGTTGTTTTTGTTTAGATTATGACCTCGTAAATTAGCAACATTACAAGCGTTCTTTGTTTATCCATTTATTTTTGAGATCAGTGAAAGCCCTCCATTAATCTATTTTCAAAAGGCTTAAATTCGTCAATTTTGGGGTTGGTCCGGGTCAAATCCCCAAAATTTCAGCTCAAAAGCGCCGTCGATCTAGAGATTTTCCCACGGTATCGAAAAACTTCCCAGGCTCAAGTGCCCCCGACTATCAGACCAATACCCACCTCTACTACGTAAGTGGTCCACCAGATTCACAAGCAAAATATTATTATTGCAATAAAATTAATCTCATGGAGTTTAGAACACTATTGACGAATACAAATGCAGGAATTGTTGAAATATTCTTTAGTTTTCAAGAAAGTGAAGGTATATGAAAAGAGGTACCTCTTCAGAGTAGAAGCTTTTTGACGTAGTGGAGGGGGGTATTGCTCTGATAGCTGTGAGGTGGGTATTGGTCATAAACAGGTGCATTAATTTTATTGCAATAATAAATATTTTGCTTGTGAATCTGCTAGTCTGATAGCTGGGGGCACTTGAGCCTAGGAAGTTTTTCGATACCGTGGGAAAATCTCTAGATCGGCGGCGCCTTTTGAAAATAGATTAATGGAGGGCTATGATGGCTATGCTGGAGGGGGGCTTTTACGTGGTAGAAGTGGGTATTGTTCTGATAGCTGTGAAAACACTCTACTCTTTACCCTTATAGCCGCCCTTTTTTTCCAATTTTAGCAGACACCGCAAAAAACTTACGCAAGCACCAGCACCAAGCAACACTAGTTCCCGCAGCTGGAAAACGAATATGGAAAGGTTGTTTGAAATGTATTACCATTCCCTTCTTAGACACTCGTCCGAATGTAAATTAAAGAATGCTGGTAAACGTTTTTGGACGTGGCTTCTGAAGAAGTTTTTTCGCCACCGGCGGGCTGTTCACCCCCCCTCATAAATGCCGGTGCATGAACATCAGCACCCACGAGGTTTTCTGAAACCCGGCGCCCCTGCAGCCAATACTTTTTTCCTGCACACTGTCCATAACATCACGCGACGAAAAATTGACTGAAGTGTCTGATTCTGTTTTATTACTAAGTATTTCATGTCTTTCATGTTCAGCTCCCAAAGCGTGTCGTTGATTGATCGATTTTATCACGTTATCATACGGTTATAATAATTATTGGTTCGTCTTTTTCAAGAGGTTGCCAATGGTTCCACATGTTTTGTTCTTCCTTTATTACATGGTTTTTAGCATTAATTCTAGATTGGGAATCCGTAGACGTAGACCACAATAAAAAATAGTGATACAACTACCAGTGATAATAATAATATAGAATTTAACAGACATACAAATTTTGAAAACATATTCCGCGAAGCATAATAAGCGAACAAATTAGGAAAGGAAGACCCAAAATTGAAAAAGCCCTGGATGACAAAAGAAATAATAGAATTAATGGATGAGAGACGCAAAGATAAGAACAAATGTGAAAAACAATAATACAAAAAGTTGGACAAATAAATCCAGAGACAAATTACAAGAGCCGAGGAGAAATTGGGCTCCAAACAAAATGCGATGAAGTGGAACAACCGAGAGAACAACTACAGAGGCGCAACATAAAAATACAAAATTACATAGAAAATCAATGAAGTCACATTTTAGTAATTAAATCTTTCTAAATTGAGGCTTTTATTCGCAAAACAACTAGTTTTACAATTCTTACATTTAATGGCCAATGTGACAAATATAGTACCTATTTATAACAAAAAGGTAATACAAGTACCTAGCAATTCATTAGATACAGGTGATAATGGAATGCATTAGAAATTAAATACTTATCACATTCTCCCCTAGTCTAGTTTTTGACATAATCTGAGAAATACTTTGGCTGAGTTCGGCTTCTAGAAGATCTGCGTGGTTGATCTTGTAAATCTTCAGATTTTCTATATTTCTGATTTATCAATTCTTGGTCTTGATTAGAGTCAGTTGCAATTCATGGTCTTGTGATTTAAGTGTGCCAATTCTTCATTTTGATTAAGGTGTCTCGCAGCCACCGGTGATAAGAGTTTACCAGCGTCTGGTAGCATAGATTGACTAGATTCTGAAAAATCATTAGTGATTGGGTACACAGGATCCGCTTCATTGTATACTGTCTCAGTAGGATTTTTAATATCGCTATATATTCCGAAGGTGCATCCAAAAGTTTTATATCTCCTCTGGGTGTCAAATGTTTTACAGAAACAGTGGTTTCCTTTCCATTTTTGTTCTAATTAATGCATAGTCTGGATTAACCCCTAAGAGTTCAACCTCTTTTACCAAAGGATCGTATTTACTACGTCGTACATGTTTCTTAAGCAAAACAAAATCTGATTGTTTAAGCCATATTGGAACTGACGTTCCATTGGTTGACCTGC